TCATATCATGCTTCATTATGGTTTGTTTACCTGGAAAGGTATTTTTTATAGCCTCAGATGTTTTTGTTGCAATCACAATTAATATTCATAATAAAATTTCATTTAACGTGGAATGTTTCAAGAACTCTTTTCCTTCCTCTTCAATACCATTTACTATTCCTGGAGCACAATTAAAGGTCACAGGTTATAAAAAAAAATTATAACTTTTGATTCAGGTAATTATTTGAATATGTGAGTAACATTTGATGATTTCACATGTAACAGGATGATCAAACTGAAGATAGCCTAAAAAAGGATTGAACTCCACTGTAAGAATTAGGTAACTAATTTGGAAACTTGAACACTTGGTAAATACACCATAGCTTGCAATTCTGATGATTACAGTTTGCTGAGGTAATTGAAATGTTAGTCCCCATGCAGGAACCTTCCATTTGACCTGTACAATCATATGCTACAAGATAACTTTAGGAAAATGCATTTGTGTTGGCAGAACTATTGTAAATACAGTACCACCTAGAGACAAAAATAAATCATTTCCTGTAAGCATGAACATTTGGGAGAAGGTATGGTGGTAAATGACCCTTCTTTTGCTAGGATGCATAGGGTCTGATCATTGTCATGTATATCTTTTAGCTTTCAAACTTTCAACTTTGTATTAATTGTAGCTGTTTACCATGTTTATTCTCTGTATCTTAAGCCCTCGAAGGTTGAAGTAGGCAAGTCAATAACCTGACTTCCTTTGTTTGGAATTGTGTGATTATATAATTTTGCTGTGTAAGCTACCATACTGTAACATGTAATATTATTATTTAGATTGCATTAAATACACTAGCTCAAGCTTTCATTAATGCATGGAGTTTCTTATCAATGGTCCTACCCATACTGAACATTGAAATAAGGAACTGGTCACAAGATATGTGAGTTTAAAAGGGTGGGAATCTGGGAAAAAAGGATACTCCTTTAATTAGGACTGAAATTAATGGGGGCCCTCTTATTTTACTTCATGTTTTTAATTTAACCTGCCTCCTCCCCTGTAATGTTCAGGGCACATAGATGAAGAGAACATTTTTTTGTATTGTGATGCATAAAAGTTAAATTACCAGTAATTGGTATCCACATAATCACAAAGCAAAAATGTAAAGCTTAAGCTTAATTGGTTAAAAAAAATTAAAGTAAGAGAGTTTTGCAGACCATGTCTGACTTTTTATCCTGGCTCTGGATATTTATTTAAGTGACAAAAACACCATCAGTCTCATTCACTCTCACTTTCCACTGAGCTCGTGGAAAGATGATAGCATCGTTATTTCTTTAAATGAAGAAAGGAAAACCTGCCCTCTTACCACAGATAGTTCTGTTGGGCATCATCAGTTCAAGATGATTGTTCCAGGTAGGCTAGCCTTAAAAATTAGTCGTGAAAATTTCTTGAACCTGTCATTGTATGTCTTGAATGTTTGACTCAATTTTACCTCACTACCTAACCTAAACTGAATAAATAGAAACATAAAATTTATTTGTTCTCCTTTTGAGATGTGCATCAAAATTTCGAAGTCATCACAGGCTTAAACTATAGGTTTACAAAAAATCTGCATGTGCATGTGTTTTCAACATATGAAACTGGGATTATGACTACTTTAAAAGACTTTACTACATGCCATATAGGTACAGGCAGGTGTTGTAAAAAAGGTTTGCTTTAGCTTTTTCATTAGTACACATTTCTTTTTCTAAGAACCTTGTTTATCCAGCTTGTGCTGAATTCTAATTTTTCAACCAAATTTTATTATTTTTTTAATATTATTAGATCTCTTAGTATCAGTTAATATTCTTGTAATTAAAATAATTACATCAAATCTTGCAGATGTATAGCACATTTTTTCTGTGGTCCTCTCAGCATTTTACCATTTGAAGGGACTGGTATTAGCTATAAAAGTATAGTCAAATTAAAGGTTTTTGCACAACCTATACATCAAGTTTTTGTAATAAAATATTGTATCCTTCTCAAAACTAGCTTATCACAATAAGAATGAGTTATCAGGCACAAGTATGGCTTTCACGATGATAGTTTCCAGGTTTGAAAAAAAGTCGCTGGCTACTAAAATCCTCAGTTCCTTTGCCTTGATAGCCCAACCTCATCAAAACATTGCCAACAGGAGTGATTAGCAAATTATTGATACAGACAAGAGGGCCTATTCCCACATACATCCTCCTCAATCCTGTTAGCTTACTATGGTCATGGTATTTAAAACATGGTCTATATGCCACAAGTTTTCCATTTCCCTGACTAATTACTTTGTAATATTGCTTATATGTTGAGGAAATGGTTGGGTGGAAATATAATACAAAGACTTGCCATTAGATAGTCAGATGAAAACTTTAACATGTTAACATGTTGCAACAACTCCATCTCCCAGTAAATTCAATTACTTGCAAACATAAGAAAATACCATCTAAACCTTTTTAACTTATTTAATATAGCCAATAACAACATCCACTCAACTTCTAAACTTAAGAGAAGACTTGATTTATGTTTAGAATTGATTTCTGTGATGTAAAAATGAAATCCAAGTATTACCTCAAGTTTTCTTAAAGACACCCAGATACATGCAGTTACAGCAGAGGTATCTAATTAATAACAGAAAAAAACTCAAAAAGATGTTTATTTCCAGCAAGAACAACAACGAAGGTCGTAAGTTGTCTAAAGATATCGCTGACTAGCATGGGGATAGTTGTAAGAACATCGTCCCTAGGTTCCAGACTTTGTCAATTCTTCCCCACCTCCCCACCCCCCGAACTGGTCTTTCAATCCATTGAAGAAACTCTTCTACAGCCTGTGCTGAAGAGTTTTATTACAGTTTTTATTCAGTGTAACGTAGGGCTGGAAAATAAACTAACAAGAGCTCCGCTTTTAGGCTTGGCTGAATCTATATATTAAACATATACATGTATGTATATCTCTTGGTAAATTTTGTATAGCATACCTTTCATTAAGCCAAAGTTTTAAGCCTCTAAAATTACTTATTGTCTTAAAACCTTCACATTCAAGGTATGAAGAATTTCTTGGAATTTATTTGGACCTCAGGGTATTTAAATTGCCTCAAATTCAGTTCCCAGAAATTCCTAAGAATTCCACCCTTCTTAAATTATAGGTATTTTGTATAGCTGAGAATTACTAGGAATTCCAAGTCCTCACAAAACTGGAGTCTTCCTTTCCCGGAAATTCCCAGTAATTCCAAGATTTTCCTGAAATAAAGCTTATTTGCATAAATGGGAATTCTTGAGAATTCCTAGAAATTCCCAGAAAACTGGGAATTCAGTTCGTAAGGGTTATGGAAGCTCATTGAACTGTCTTGAGAATGGTCGCTGAAGTAGTGAATAATCAGTTCTGTTGCCTTTTATGTATAGCTATCCTGTTAAAAAATAAACATCACCTCTTCCTTGAGGCAGGTTGAAGGGGGGGGGAGGAAAGGCTGGGGAGGAGGGGGGTGCCACTAGAATGCCTTGGAATGGGCTGCTGTGTCAATGTCTACTTTAGCCTGGTTTACAAAGGGTTTTGGTCATGATACCCTTAAAGTTTGGCAGTCACGTAAATGTGTTAGGTAAGGGTGCTAAGGTCACGTAAATACTCAACCCTAATTTTTCCAGGAAACCCAAAGGCATCCTGTCTGGATGAGTTCATTCCTGCAAATTGCAAAATTTACAGGACCATTGATTTTGATCGTGCTTAAAAAACATCACACAATTAGCAGATTATTTTTGAAACATTTGGAACTTTATTCTGCACTTTTAAATATTGTCGGCAAAAGTAATAAAGGAATGCATACTTTCACCTTCTGTTAAACATTTTTGTATAGGAAATCGTATGAACGCGCGTGCATTTCGTGATTTATGGGCACGAGTGATGTTTTGAAAGTTCTCAAAATTGCACGAGCCGTAGGCGAGTGCAATTTGAGAACTTTCAAAACATCACGAGTGACCATAAATCACGAAATGCACGAGCAGGTTCATACGATTTTTTATTTATTATATTCTCGACAGTCAGCCATTTTTTTATAATTTGGTGTTCAAATTTGGCGCTTCCCCGGTGTTTCCATCGCAACTTCTCCCTATTGCACTCTATAACCTCTATTGCACTCTATAACCTCTATTGCACTCTATAACCTCTATTGCACTCTATAACCTCTATTGCACTCTATAACCTCTATTGCACTCTATAACCTCTATTGCACTCTATAACCTCTATTGCACTCTATAACCTCTATTGCACTCTATAACCTCTATTGCACTCTATAACCTATTTATGCATTCATCATTGACCAATCAGAAACGCGATATTTTGTTGAGTATATAATAAGGTAACTTATATTCATGTTGTCATGGTATAAATTTCCAAATGAAAATCTCTTTACATACCCTTGTCTGTTTTATAAGTAGCACTCTAGATTGAAAGAAGAGCAAAAAAAAAGGGAAACCATCTGTTTCTCAAAACTAATTATGGAAAGTCACAGTTTACGGTTACCTTGGAAGTCACGATTCATGGAGAAAAAATAGCTATTTTAAGTACTTGTTCAACTATTTGGTACTAAATTTTTTAAAAATTGAAACAAGTGGTTCTTTGCAAATCAGCACATTTTGAATGAGTGTGACCGTAATAAAATTATTATTATTATCATTATTAAGCATTAAAAAGATGATAACACGCCCCCCAAACAACCAGATTGGCATTAAAGAGGTTTAATCTTTTGCTAAATGACCTCATTATTAATGTTTTCACAAGGTTTCCATGAGAGATCCCAAAGATTTTTTAGCTTTAATTAATGTTTATTACACTTTAAGTATATTTCACGTGTTCAATTTAACATATGTATTTGTAGTATCGCAACATCATGACGAATCAGAGACAGGCTTGATTTACATGTAATATCTTATTTTAACTACAGTTTCAAGAGACGTCTGTCTATTGCTTGTCTGTTTCTAGTGTCACTTGCATTTGGACTGGCACCATTACTTATTTTCTCGTTTGTGCTTTTGGCAAAATTGCATTTGTAATAATCCTGAGTTTAGACTGCAATTGAGTCATATAATAGATGAACTAGAGGTACAACTAAAATAGATTGCAAGTGATGAACTATTGGTACTTAACATACAATCCTGTTGAAATCGTTCATTCTATGTAACCAGGATAACTTGATCCTCTCAGTTTTTATGTTAAATCTGCTAAGTCTTAACAATGAAATGACTTATTTCCTCAAAGAATTACCTCGGAAGTTTATTTTAACTCCATACTGTATTTTTTCGTTTGTGCTTTTGGCAAAAGTGCATTTGTAATAATCCTGAGTTTAGACTGCAATTAAGTCATATAATAGATGAACTAGAGGTACAACTAAAATAGATTGCAAGTGATCAACTATTGGTACTTAACATACAATACTGCTGAAATCGTTCATTCCCTTTTTTGGGGGGTGGGGTGGTTGATCATGATCCTTCTCCATGGGCTTGTTTAATTTATTAAAACTGATCATGAATGAAATAAAGATTTAAATAGCAGTCACTGAATGCCCTCAAAGCACTGAAAGCTCTCTCCATGACACATCATAAGTTGGCAGCTGACAAAATGGCACATCTTGTGGCAAATGTATGTTATAACATAGCTAGCAAATTTTTCTCATCAAGTTCAATTGCGCTAGCGTGCTTCATATTCCTATTGTGCACGCTCATGACGTCAGCAAACAAATTTTCCATTGGGTTAAAAATGTTATAAAACAATTGGTTCATGCTTCAGCTGTACGTTCGTCGAGATATGAAGCACTTAGGAAGTTTGGAGAGCACTCAAGAAGCTAGAGTTGCTCTCGGCTACGCCTCGAGCGACTCTTACGCATCTTTCGTGCTCTCCAAACTTCCCGCGTGCTTCATATCTCGATGAACGCACGCTGACGTACGAACCAGTTGTTAATGGAACTTCCATATTACCTTGGCGGTAAAAGTCAGGTAAATTTAAAGCAAATTTAACATTTACGTCACATCTGCGAGTAAATACATTAGGAACAAATGCTCGAGCTTAAATCAACTTTGTAGCCAGTGAGAACCTTTTTTGCCCATGTTACAAAACTATGAAAATCCACTTCGTTCCTCCAGTAAGCTTTACTCGCCTGGCGGTGTTCTTGCTGCAAATTGTCAATCTTCTGCTTCCATATCGTAATGGTCTCCCCACTTTTGTTGCCTCTGAAGCCCTCGAGACACTTGACATCGGTAAGAACCTCCTGTCTGATACCATCCTCTACTTCGCAAGGTACTGGAGGGGGCGAGTCTGACGGTGTCGAAGCGATGGCATCAATTTGGGCTGTCGCAATTCCAAGAGCGATGAAAGCTTCTTTAGCTAGCTTTACGAAGAGGTCAAATGTTTCTTTATCAATTTCGGCCTTTAACGAGCGGCAAAACAAATTTCTCAGCAGTCGAAGCAGATGAATGGCGCATAATAAGGATTCTAAATCGTATCCAACTGGGCCCATCACAGATGCATTGAACTTACAATGCGGAAGTTTACGAGGTTGGCCTTTACTATCTGGCCTATCAAAGGATCGTGAGAGAATGGTGGCCTGGATCAGGGCGACGAAGTCCCACTCTTCATATGAAAGGTGTGTAGGAACTCTGGTTTTGCCACCCTCTGCTTTAAGAAACAAATTTCTCACTTCCGAGGAGTCATCCCACGGTTTAAATCCAGTCATATTTCCAAACGTGTTGTTCCACATGGTTCGAAACGTTTGACGCAAGGCTTTAGGAAATTCGTTCGTTACAATCAGTGCAAACTTAGAGTAGTTCAGCTGCTGGTCACTGAAGTTTGACCGGGGCTCTTTTCCACGTACTTGTTGAGATGAAGCGTTGGACATCCAATCGTCACACCGTGCCTCATTACCATCTGTGTTTTTTCCAGTTTTTATGATCTCGCTAAAAGAATCTGAAAAAAATAAAATAGAATTAAAAGGCATAAAAAAAATTTGGTATTACTTTTATTTTATTACTCAGCTCTCCAGTACACAATATTCTACTTATATCCAATTTTACTTCTTCCTGTGTAACTCTTGTTAATTTCTCAGGCTCAACAGACTACTTAATCATTATGCTTCCAATCAACTAAATCAACCTCTAAATGCGTTAGCCAAAACAAAAACTTTTGTGTGAGTCCAAAGCAAGGTCACCAGACAAACTAGGCACATCCACATGGAAGTTAGACAAGACAGTCACAACTCGGGAACTCATCGCGACGGCTTGAACTTAAACAACTTCAAAATTCTAAATTATACTGTAACTGCATTCTAGATATAGACGGATGACTAAATCATACTAAACTGACTGACTAACTGACCACATAAAGTATCTAAACACTTCATAACATGCTCTCTTTTTCAGTAGTAGTGCAAGTGTAATTAGGCTCAAGAAGGAATGCTTTGCTGCTTATGGTAGTATTTAGGAACGACTTCAAAGAAAGGGGTTGGATTTATGTTAAAAATGTCTATCTTAGTCGAGTACTGGAAGACACATCAAGTTAGAGCAACAAAAAAGTACATTTGTGGAACGTCTTCACTTTTGTTGCGAATTTCCTCCAATTTAATCATTGAGCACATGAAGGTCAGCAAAACAGTTCTAGATATACGCTTTGTGCCGTTTGCTGCGCAAAAACGAAGTAGCACACGAAATAAGTCTCTAAATATCATTATTTCATGTTATTCTTTCCCTTTAGAATCGTCTTGAAGACAATACAGATGGACGAGGGATGAAGAAACTGTAGCAAGAGCGCAAGGCCCCCTCCACCCAACCATTTTATCTGTTCGTAGTTGAGGAATGCTCTTGCCTGGTGTTCCTCATCATTTCAGTGGAAAAACGCATGCCATAATTGGCGTTCAAAACTGATCTTCAGGTAATCTTTTAAGATAGCAGTGAGCCTTTTGTTACAAATTTAGATATGTGATGCTAAATATTTCCTTCCCGGCCCACAAAGTATTCATTTCTGGGAGGTAGACATGGGCTTGCCAGGGTATCTGCTAGAGACAAAAATGTAAATCACCACCTAATTGAACGTTTGTTCATTGAATCCATACAACAAACCACCCAGCGAAATTCGATCAGACAAGACAAGGTTTTCGAGAAAGTGGGGAACGTGAAGCCCATAGATCACCTCTTTTTAAATCAAGCTACGGCTATTTCAACTTACTAAGAGACAAAAACACATTATTCTACGTCACCGTTAAAGTGAGGCCAATCTTCAAAAGTTGTCCCTCCCTCCAAAATATTGGCAACAACAGAAGCTGCCATAACGCTGGCAAATTTCTTCCAGCCTTCGGACTCTTTACTGGCACCTTCATAATGTGAAATCCCTTTCACAGCAATGCTCTCAACTTTTATGTCAGTAATGGCTGTTGCTAAGGCATCTTAAACGAAAAGATCAACGCTGCTTTGTAAATAGAAGTTCAAAGTCGATTTGAATAAATGTGCACGCGCAAATCTTCAAAGACCAACACAATCGCACGAGCCTGTAAATTGAGCACATATTGTGCGTTAGGTCAAAATAGTTGGGTTCAAAGAAAAAAATATATCTATCGTAAATGTTTTTTCAAAGATTTTCAGCTGCGAAAAAATTTAAAGCAAGGCAAACGGTGGTTACCTTTTTTGTTCTTAATTACATGTTTTCTCAAACTGAATTCTCTCTCTCTCTCCTGCATTGTGTTACCGGAAACGGTATTTCTCACAGCCAATCAAAATAAAGACATTTTCTCGTGTATGTTACTAGCATTTTAAATCACTTCGTTAAAAACGAGTCTTCGTAGCAAAACACGTAAATGGTGCGCCCTCTGTTTTTGCATGACAAAAAAGAAAAAACACGTTGCGAACATTTCACTCTTACCTCGCACTTCAATGGCAAACGCATCAGGATGGGATTGAATCAGTTCTTCGCTCATATTTTTGTCCTGGGCGAACAGCAAGACGCCACCACGGTGAATCCTTACCTCTCTATCATCGGGATCTTGCAAAGGTGCCATCCATCCCTCACCAACAAATCGTACGAGGGACGAAGAACGGTTGCTTTCAAGAGCTCTCATGCCCCTTGGGCTGTATGTTCCTAGCTTTGATGTTATCAACACATCTCCTATGCGAGCTTTCGCGGCATCGAGACTACCGCAAACACCAACTAAAAATACCACTTTCGGTCTCATTTTGATGATAGCTTTTTGGAAGGATAGGGCATAATCAACAGGCGTTGTGTTCCCATGGGACCTAACCAGTGCCACCCTCAGTTGACCGATTTCTCCAAAATACACATCTCCTACATCCTGATCATGGCTTACAAAAGGATTTTTAAGATTAGCAAAGGAACTTAGAAACTCGAACTCCTCCACTGTTAGTAGGAGAATGTCTATGGGAAACTGGACATCACCATAGTTCTTTAGAGACACTTTAACATCACTCATCTTCGGAACAGTGAGGCTCATTTGTGGTGGAACCTCGTTGCAGTCTTCAGCTGTAAAGAGACAAAACCATCCCTTACATTTATCAGGGAAAAAAATTAACCCTTAGATGTCTTGAAACAATCGTTCCAGCCATACAGAAAGGAATATGCGTAGTTAAAGCCGATGTTGAGCATTGTTTTGCATCGTAGATATGAATTTCAGGAGGAGCATTTGTACATCTTCCAGATATTACTCTACCCACATCTGAATTTTCATTTCTTTTTTCCACTGATGTTGTTGATTAAATCTTTACGGTTTTATTTACAATTTGGTTTACACGAAGTGTTCGTTTACAAAAAGGCCGAGACAAAAAATAAGTATTCTGAATTTACATGTTGGAGGTCTATACTCTTCAGTATTCGCAATGCTGTGCGACCCATCCCTCGCACACAACAGGCTTCGATTGACAGTGGGCAAATATTTCCATCACTATCTTAACTGAGAAATATTCAAGGAATAAAAGCGGCTCAGATGATTTTTAGACGGATGAGGAATAAATTTTTTTTCGAGGCTTCCCTTGTAACATGTGATGTGCGGAAAATGGAACAAATTTCCACCGCTGTTGAAGAATGTTTTTTTAGTCTATACATAAGGAAGGAGATGCCATCAGATGGTTTGTATCCATTTAAATAGAAAGGCACCTTGAAGATCCGGGGAGACGTATTTTCTTTTTACCAACAAAAAAGGAAAAAGAAAGGCAAACACAGGTAGCAGCCTTACTTCTTTTGTCGTGTTCTTGCTGAAAATCCTCAATCTTCTTCTTCAACTTTTGTTTGAAGCCTTCGAGACACATAGCATCGACAAGAATCTCCTGTCTGATACCATCCTCCACTTCGCAAGGTACTGGAGGGGGCAAGTCTGACGGTGTCGAAACGATGGCATCAATTTGGGCTGTCGCAATTCCAAGAGCGATGAAAGCTTCTTTAGCTTGCTGTACGTAGTGGTCAAATGTTTCTTTATCAATTTCGACCCTTAATGGGTGCCAAAACAAATTTCTCAGCAGTCGAAGCTGATGAATGGCGTGTAATGAGGATTCTAAATCATATCCAACCGGGCCCATCACAGGTGCATGGAACTTACAATGCGGTACTTTACGAGGTTGACCTGCACTATCTGGCATAGCAAAGGATCGTGAGAGGATGGTAGCCTGGATCAGGGCGACGAAGTCCCACTCTTCATATGAAAGGTGTGTAGGAACTCTAGTTTTGCCACCCTCTGTTTTAAGAAACAAATTTCTCACTTCCGAGGAGTCATCCCACCGTTTAAATCCAGTCATATTTCCAAACGTGTTGTTCCACATGGTTCGAAACGTTTGACGCAAGGCTTTAGGAAATTCGTTCGTTACAATCAGTGCAAACTTAGAGTAGTTCAGCTGCTGGTCACTGAAGTTTGACCGGGGCTCTTTTCCACGTACTTGTTGAGATGAAGCGTTGGACATCCAATTGTCACACCGTGCCTCATTACCATCTGTGTTTTTTCCAGTTTTTATGATCTCGCTAAACGAGTCTGAAAAATTAAAACAGAATAAAAAGGCATAAAAAAAACTTTTTGTATTAATTTCATTTAATTACTCAGCTCTCCAGTACACAATATTCCACTAACATTCAATTTTACTGAAATGAGCAGCAGAGTACTTAATCATTATGCTTCCAATCAACTAAATCAACCTCTAAATGCGTTAGCCAAAACAAAAACTTTTGTGTGAGTCCAAAGCAAGCTCACCAGACAAACTAGGCACATCCACTTGGAAGTTAGACAAGACAGTCACAACTCGGGTACTCATCGCGACAGCTTGAACCTTAACAACTTCGAAATTCTAAATTATACAGTAACTACATTCTAAACATAAACGGATGACTAAATCATACTAAACTGGCTACATAAAGTATCTAAACACTTCATAACATGCTCTTTTTTTCAGTAGTCGTGCAAGTATCATTAAGCTCAGGAAGGAATCCGCTGCTGCTTATGGTACCATTTGGGAACGACTTCGAAGAAGGGGTTGAATTTATGTTGAAAATGTTTTCCTTAGTACTGGAAGACACGTCAAGTTAGAGTGACAAAAAAATAAATTTGTGGAACGTCTTCACTGGTGTTGTAAATTTCCTCCAATTTAATCATTGAGCACATAGAGGTCAGCAAAACAGCTATCGATATATGCTTTGTGCCGTTTGCTGCGCAAAAACGAAGTAGCACACAAAAAAAGGCTTTTAAATATCATTTTTTCATATTATTCTTTCCCTTTAAAATCTTCTTGAAGATAATTTAGAACGACGAGGGACGAAGAAACTGTAGCAAGAGTTCAAGGCCCCCTCCACACAACCATTTCATCTGCTACTAGTTAAGGAATGCTCTTGCCTCGTTTTCCTCATCATTTCAGCGGAAAAACGCATGCCATAATTGGTGTTCAAAACTGATTTTTAGGTAATCTTTTAAAATGGCAGTGAGCCTTTTATTAAAAATGTTCATGTCTGGTGCTACATATTTATTACAACAAAGTGTGAAGATGGTCTTCGGATATTAACTTACTCAGATTTTCTTGTGTTGCCAGAATGGCTGTAACGATTTCCTGCCAATTGATTGCGTTGAACTTCTCATCTGTTCTCTCACTTTCAGAGTATCTGCCATTTGACATTTAAAACAACGTGATTTAGAAGAATTCAGTTGCTACATGAGCTCTAGGCACTGGAGCATAACAATATCCTTAGTAGAGAATGCATGATAATATGGAGGGGAAAATTCTCATTTTGGACTGGCCGGTAGAAAGTACTGCAATTCTTAATAAATTTGGAACCCGAGTTCAAATTACAAATGTATGCTCAAAGCGAATGTGAGTTAGCACAAGCCTGATTTGAGTAATGGGGTGATTTAGCAAAGGGACGGGTTCGTCAGTTGAAAACGGCGGGCGCAGCAAAAACACTAGAAAGAAACTGGGTCGAGAACGTCCCCCCGTTGTGTTTCAAACGTGACGTACCAGTCGTTGTAACTAGACGTCAAAGTTATATTTTTTCTCGAATATCCTGACCTCGGCTTATTGCTTAGGGTTAGGTTAAGGGTAAGGGTCGTCATCACCTTTATAATTTCGGTTTCACATATCACTTTAAGGACATCGAAGTTATTTCCTTTGAGAGTTTTGCAACAAGCGAGAACGGAGGATAATTATAGATAAGGCAAGCAAGATGTTCACATAAATCCTTTTGTACGATTAAACTTCTTAAAATGTATTCCATTCCAGTTAAGTCTCGTTTCTGTTGAGTCATCTATCAAATTTTAGAGCCCATTGAATAACTTTTTCTGCGATTTGTGTCGCTGTTATTTCGTTATTTCGAGCCACTAGATTTCAGCACCACTTGTTTTTCTTAATAATTTTACAAAGTATAATTTGGAAATCGTCTTCGTTTTATTCCCTTATTTGCCGGATATTTCTCCTTATTCATGACAGTACATCTCTTTTGAGCTCCACCTTCTTAGAGTTGCATTTTGAACGGACTTTTGACGAAACCATGAAGGGACCAAGAAGTCGCGATTAAGTCGTGTCCTGACTATCCGCGCGCCCTCCCGTTCTGAAATGACGTTCCCATTCTCTTGCTAGATCACTATGATAGTGAGACAAAGTACGCGTCATGCGTGTTATGGAATAGTACCCATCATATGCGCGCACTGCTGCCTCGCTTTTCGCCGAGTTAGTTGTCGTTTTTCATGAAAACGTATAATCGATGGCTTGTTTATTTCTCAAATTTTGTCATAGCTTCGATTTATTGGTAAAAGAACTTTATGCCTTCCGATTCTGTCTGCAATCATACTCGTAATAAGAACTGAAATCGGTCTCTTGCATCGCAATCGACCGATTTTGTTAATTACTTGTATGATTACGGACCGAATTGGACTCCACTCAGTCCTAGTACAGTACTAATAGCGAAGCATTTTTCTAAGTTAGAATATTCAAACAAAATTCAGTTCAGTTTATGTTGAATCTACATAGGCAAACCATTTAGCCTCTTATGCTAGGCCTCTATGTGCTACACTTTCAACTTGTCTTACCTTTTGGTCACATCTTCCAAGTATTCGGCGATTTCATTGTGGCCACGTGCTCTCGCGACATATTCTGGTAAAAGCGGCCTTCCTTTGTACGAATCAAATACTATTCTTCCGGCGGGTAGGTCAAAGATGAGTCGAATGAACCAAACAGCGTTTACTTTGGCTGCCTCGTAAATGAACCTTATTAAGAGCTGAACTAACAATGAAGATTTTTCCCTACCAGAAGGCCCTACAATCGTTAAGAAAATGAAAATTAAAAAAACTTTTATCCATGATTTTCAAAGAACAGAGAGAAATGAGCGAGATCTTGTTGTGTCCGTATTTAGGCATTTTTTTTTTCATTATTTTGGCTCTGTTATCATCAATCACTCCTTTCTTCCTCCAGTTCAAACTATAGTGAAAAATATTCCCAAAACACTGTTCAACAACAATCTTTTTACCTTAAATAAGGTTTGAAATCTGTTTTTCTAGCTTTCAACCTTTTGCTTTGTTTACTGGATTGATCGGACATAAGAGTTAAAGGGATTAAGAGATAATGAAAAAAAAAGAAAGAAATACAAATTGAAAGGATAAATTGACAAATACCTACCATCATTCGTATGATTTTCTGCGTCGGAAGTACCTTCTTCAGAATGTACATTCAGGCATGGAATGGCAACCTGGAGGAATTGCAGCGTCGTTTTTGGGCAAATGACTGCCTGCTTCAACGTCTCGTCAATCAAATCTGTGTACACAACTTTTGTCTCCTCCAAACACTTTTCTTGATTATGCGAGGAGACTGTTTCTTTAAAAACACCTTCTGTTGATGAGTCTGCAACATTTACGGATGAAATTGCTCAAATCATAACTACCTCTTTTTTAATAACCTACAAGGTCAGTAATCTGTGAGGTGAACTTGGAAACTCACATCGCCCTTTCCGCCACAAAATGTATAGTTTAGAGAGTACAGTGATTGAAAAATAACTGAGCTACCTATTCATTTGTGCTGAGGGACGAAGAAACTGTAGCAAGACAGCAAGGCTCCCTCCACCCAACCACTTCATCTTAGGAATGTTCTTGCCTAATGTTCCTCATCATTTTAATGGAAAAACGTATATCATAATTGACATTAAAAACTGATTTTCAGATAATCTTTCAAAATAGCAGTGAGCCTTTTGTTAAAAAGTTTCATGTCTGATGCTACATATTTATTACTCAAAATGTAAAGATAATGTGCGGATATTAACTTACTCGGATTTTCTTGTGTTGCCTCAATGGCTGTAACGATTTCCTGCCAATTTATGGCGCTGCACCTCTCCTCATCTGTTATCTCACTTCCAGAGTATCTACCATTTGACATTTAAAACACCGTGATTTAGAAGAATTCAGTTGCTACAGGAGCTCTAGGCATTGAAGCATAGCAATATCCTTAGTAGAAAATGCATGATAATGTGAAGGGAAAAATTCTCACTTCCGACTGGCTAATAGAAAGTACCGCAGTTCTCAATAAATTTGGAATACGAGTGCAAATTACAAATGGTGCATGCTCAAAGCGAATGTGAGTTAGCGCCAGCCTGGCAATGGGGTGATTTTTCAAGAGGACGGGTACGTCAGTTGACAATGGCGCGCGCAGCAAATACACTAATAAAAAAAAACTGGATCTCTCCGTCGTGTTTCATACGTGACCTACCAGTCGTTGTAACTAGACGTCAATGGTATGTTTTTTGTTGAATATCCTATTTTCGGCTCTTTAAAGATCGTCATCACCTTTAAATTTTCGGTTTCACATATCACTTTAAGGTCAACGAAGTTATCTCCTTTGAGAGTCATACAACAAGCGAGAACAGAGGATAATTATAGATACGGCAAGCAAGATGTTCACTTGAACCCTTTTGCACGATTAATTTTTTTTAAATTTTTTTTTTCAGTAAAGTCTAGTTTCAGTTGATTCATTTATCAAATTTTAGAGCCCATCGAATAATTTTTTCTGTGATTTGTGTCGCTGTTATTTCGTTTCGAGTCACTAGATTTCAGCACCACTTGTTTTTCTTCATAGTTTTACAAAATATAATTTGGAAATTGCCATCGTTTTATTCCCTTATTTGCCGGATATTTCTCCTTATTCATGACAGTACATCTCTTTTGAGCTCCACCTTCTAAGAGTTACAATACATTTTGAACGCACTTTTGGCGCAACCATGAAGGGACCAAGAAGTCGAAATAAAGTCGTGTCCTGACTATCCGCGCGCTCTCCCGTTCTCAAATGACTTTCCCATCCTCTTGCTAAATCACTCTCATAGTAGGATAAAGGAAGCGTCATGCGTGTGTAATCGAATAGTTCCCGTCTTGTGCGCGCACTTCTGCCTCGCTTTTCGTCGAGTTAACTGTCGTTTTTCATGAAAACGTATAATCGATGGCTAGTTCATTTCTAAAATTTTGTCATAGCTTTGATTTATTGGTAACAGGACTTTATGCCGTCCAGTTCTGTCTGAAATCATAGTCGTAATAAGAACTGAAATCGGACCTTCGGCGACCGATTTTGTTAATTACTTTTATGATTACAGACCGAATTGGACTCCACTCAGTCCTATCACACTACTAATAGCAAAGCGTTTTTCTAAGTCAGAACATTCAGACTAAATTCGGTTCAGTTGATGGCTTGAAGTTACATAGACAAACCTGTTAGCCTCTTATGCTAGGCCTCTTTGTACTACACTTTCAACTTGTCTTACCTTTTGGTCACGTCTTCCAAGTATTCGGCGATTTCATTGTGGCCACGTGCTCTCGCGACATATTCTGGTAAAAGCGGTCTTCCTTTGTACGAATCAAATACTATTCTTCCGGCGGGTAGGTCAAAGATAGGTCGAATAAACCAAACAGCGTTTACTTTGGCCGCTGCGTAGATGAACCTTTGTAGGAGCTGAACTGACAATGAAGATTTTTCCAAACCAGAAGGCCCTAAAATCGTTAAAATAATGGAAAACAATTTATCTACGATTTTCAAAGAACAGAGTGAAATAAGCGAGATTTTGTTGTGTCCATGTTTAGGCATTTTTTTTGTACATTATTCTGGCTCTGTTATCACCAATCACTGCTTTCTTCCTCTAGTTTATAATATAGTAAAAGCTATTCCCAAAATACTGTTCAATAACAATGATCGTCTTACTTTAAATAAGGTTTGAAATCTGTTTTTCTAGCTTTCAACCTTTTGCCTTGTCTACGGGATTGATCGGACATAATAGGTAGAGAGATTAAGAGGAAATGAAAAAAAATTTAAAAAAAAAGGGAATTAAAATTCAAACTGAGAGGAAAAGATAACAAATACCTACCATCATTCGTATGATTTTCTTCGTCGGAAGCACCTCCTTCAGAATGTACATTCTGGCATGCAGTGATAGCCTTAATGAATTTCAGAGATGCTTTTGGACAACTGATTACTCGTTCCAACACATCCTCTACCAAATCTATGTAAAGAATTGTTGTCTCCCCCAAACACCTTCTTCGATCTTCCGAGTGGACTGTTACTTTAAAGGCACCTGGTTTTAATGACTCTGCAACATTTACGGATTAAAATGCTCAAACCATAGCTGCCTTTTTTTTAATAACATACAAGGTTAGTAATCTATGGGGTGAATTTGGAAAATTTTTATCGCCTTCCGGCCACAACATGTATAGTTTAGAGAGTACAAAGATTGGAAGTGAGTGAAACTCGTTTTAGATGGGAGATTTAAACCGGTTAGAAAAATTTAAATTTACCATCATACAGTAGTAAGAGCAGAAACAATTTTGGTGGTGGGCTCAAACTAGGATAAATGTATGCTTCCATTTTTTTGTATATCAAACCTAGCGTAATTTCGATCACTTTACGACTTAAAAGTAAACTGCTTTGGTATTCCTGAGCGAGGTATTTCAATTTTTGACCTACCTACCTTCCTTTTTGCATCAAACTACAAATCAAATATTATGATAAAGAAGATATACTTACGTGGAAGAGCTCCTCCTAACAAGGTCTTGTCATCCTTCTTCACTAAGCTTACTCCCTTTTCTAGATTTTCAAAATCCGCAACTCCGGATTCCATCCCTTCTGGAAGCTTTCCCGTAAATTCGATTTTAAATGGCGCTCCGTTCTGATACTAAATAAATTAATTTTAAAAAAATGACAATAAACCTATTTGAAGGCAAAAAATAAGTCATGGTCAATTAAAAAGTGGCATTGTTATAAATAAAATAACTAGTAATTCCCTAATTTATTCATCTGTTTATCGCAAGACGGAACATAATATGAGCAATCTGTTTCCTCCTTCCTCTGCTTTCTCCTCTTCACTTTAACTTAACTGCTTCTCAGTTGGTCCAATACCTTAGCTAAAAAATTGGGTTTGCATTGTAAGTACAACGGTTCAAAAAGCCAACTCTCATGGCTCGCATTGGATCTGCTAGATGATAACAGCAAACTTAATATAATACCTTTAAAAGAACGGTGTCTGGATTGATGCGTTCCAAATGGAGTTGGTTTTCAGGCAAATCCTCTTTTAATTGTGATATCCACAAGAAGAAAAGATACAAGTCAACAGCAAAGTAAATTGATCAAATGAAGGTATGCCAACTAAAAAGGCTAATTAAGTCTTCCAAAAATAAATTCTTCCGTTGAGAAACATGAAAACCATAAAATCTTGTTCTTTTTCTGATAATGTTGTGACCAGATACTTTGGAGATCCAGACACTGGCGGAACTGAGCATTACAAAAGCAACTGAACCACGATTAAAAAAATTTCCGTTGCCGCTCACTCATTCACCTTTTCTCACTTTCTCCTTCGACCCTGAAATATGCCTGATTTTTACGGTCGCATCAGGTTTACTGTCACAAAATTAAGGCAGACTCGATGAGTTTTAATAGCATTTGGTTCAATTCTAGGACATTTTAAGGAAGCCGGTCACCCAATACTAATCATTTCAAGCAACTAAATTAGTAAGATTAGTTAGTTTTGACTTCTGAGTATAAAAACCTGGAAGCACATTCAATTCCTCCTCGCTCGACCCCAAGTGTTTGTAAGTTTTCTTATTCATTTTTGTCTTTATTTCCTTTCCTTTTTCAATTTTTTAAACTTTACTCTTCTAAAGCATACGTTTTTCTCGATTTCAATTAAGTCTTCAAAAAAATATTTATAACTATTCCGGACCTGAGTCATTAAGTGTTCTGAACATAACTTGGTATTTAATCCAGTCAGCTTAACCAACGGCTCTAAGCATTGGTTGGTAGTCTCCTCCTTTCTTCACCTGCTCGAGCGGCCTGTCTCCATGGTCGCAAAGGACAGGTTGCTTGGACAGGTTCTGGGTTCCCTTCTTTCAGTACGCTGGTGACGTCTTCAGTGGAGCTCTCCGGTTCCTTCTTAACATCATCTAGAATTTCAAGGGAAACAAGCGTTGTAGAGGACGCCGTAGATATGAACTCTTTCCCTTATGTCCAATGCGGAAGACTGCTCCCCTTGACGTGAGTCTCTGCTTGTGAGCCTTGTGATATGGTGATCACATGGCAACCATGAGGGAAACTTAGCTGATTCCGGTAGAGACGAGTTGCAGTGTCTTCCCTTGCACCTCAAGATTCCTTCGTGTCCCTGATTACTCCCTACCAAGCACACTGTTGTTTGAAATTTCGATTCAGCAGCAAAGACTTCTGAGACTCCAATATCCACAATGATTCACTGAACAACACTTCTTCACTGTTAAGACTTCCAGAACCAACAGGACAAACAGGCTTTGAAGACCGTGCCTTAATGGTATTCACAAAGCGTATGACATAGGCAGTTATTCTACTCAGTTTAGAGAAGTCACTGTAGCCTTCAAAGTTTATGACATGTGCTATGCCTACTTCAGGTGTTTTTATCAGTGTGGCTGATTCTTTTAGATCTCGTTCTGCCTGCAATTTCATTTCCTTCACGCACTCTGGTGGTGGCTGAATCATTTCAAATCCACGTGGATCCATTCCACCAGAGAGTGCTGCTTACTAGAGACAAGGGATTCATTCCTCTCGCTGCTGGGTCTGCTGAATTTTCCACGTCTGGAACATGAGCTCATATATCAGTCGGTAAGAGTTGTCTGATTTCTGCTACTCTGTGGTTGACGAACTGCTTCCATTCGTTATCCTTCCTCCTACTTCAGTAAAGAAAATATTATTCGAGTCTGTCCAGCAGCGGACACGATTAACAACGAGGCACTGTTCCAGTGTTTTCTTGATTCGTGCTGTCTACCTTGTCACTATTAACGCAGCTAAGAGCTCCAACCTCGAAATGGTCTGCTTCTTTAGTGGGGCAACACCAGTTTTTGATGCAATCAATTGGACCTGAGTACTGGTTCGAGATTTGAATACCAAGTAGACCACCTCTGCATTGGCTGAAGATGAGGCGTCACCGAAAGCCTCCAGTTCATATACAAGTTCCTTAGCGTCAGGTTCGGAAGTGACACATCTAGGGATCTGAATGACATTCACCTGCCCCAACTCTGAGATCAACTTCATTCATCGAGTTTTCAGTCCCGAGTCAAGTTCTGCATCCCAGTGGTAGTCTGCCTTGCAGATTTCTTGCAGAGGAATCTTCATTTGTACAATAATTGGTGAGATCGAGCTCATAGTATCATAAAAACTTGCTATCACTCTGAGTACATTCCGTTTTGTGGGCGTTAGACCTTGTGCGCTTTCGACATTTGTCTGAAACTTGAACAAGAACTCAACTGTGACATAGTTCCAGTTAGTTCCCAGAACCTTCTTTTCAGTGTTGACATCCCTCCATTCAAGACCACCGGCCATGATTCTACTGTATGTTTCATAATCTTCATCAAGCTGATTTCCCTCTTCTGTTCGGAAACTTAATTCCCTCTGAGATTCCTTTCTACTTGATCTTCTCCAATAGGGGCTTTGAGTTGGTCAGCCATTTGCGTAGGTTAAATCCCCCTTGAGCTATTCCGTCTCTTGACTTGAGATAAAGTTGGTATGCCTTGTCCACATCTTCAAGGCTTACACTCAGATCATCTACATAAAACGAGCAATGCATCTGATTGACAAATTCAGGGTCTTTCCTTTCATGGCTGGTGATATACTTGAGGAGAGTTCCATTCAAAAGAAAGGGACTGGAAGTAACTCTAAACACAACTCTAGAAAATCTGTTTTCCACTATCTTAGGTTCCGCTGAATTCACATCATCCACCCACAGAAAACGCAGAACGTCTCTGTCCTCCTCCTTTACGACTGTCATGAGTAAGACTTTCTCTATGTCGGCAACTATTGTAATTGGCTGAACTCTGAATCCTAGGAGAATGTCTAGGATGTCAGGAGTTAAGGGTGGTCAGTATGGAGGGAATCGTTTGATCCTGGCCCATTTTCTCTTGCTAGTGCATTATACAAAATGCGAAGCTTGGTTGTTGGCTTGTCTTCTCTCACGAAGCAGTGATGGGGAAGGTAATGTATCTGATGACAAGGCTGAGCTTTCTCGGATTAGTCAACTCTCTCGATGATTCCCATGTCAAGCTGATTCTTTATCACACGATCATACTTCTCGAGTTACTCTGGCTTCTGGCTGGGTCTCTTCAACAAGAACTGTAATCTTCTTTGACTGAGACTGCGATTGTCAGACAGTGGGTCAAGAGCTTCCTTCCATGGAAGACCTACTTCATATCTCTGATTCCTTAAGTGATCGTCTCTTTGAATGATTCTAAAAGAGAGTTTTCTTCCTGCTTAATTCCAATTGATTCCAGTTCCCAGAATCTGCGGAGTTTCTTGTTAAGCTCTATATGATGCACATCCATCTCATCTCTGCGAGCATCAGTCCGAAGTACGTGTGTTGCCGCCACATTGACTGAGTGAGTATCTGAGCGAGGTGCATTCTCGACAGGACAAGATAATGTCCATCCAAATCCTATGTTCATTGCAACAAGCCAATTCTCTCCTCTTCTGACCTTTCCATTTCCAATGTTCCACTGCTGATCTTCTCCGATGAGAATTTCTACGACGAGATTCTCTTCTGAAGTACGTTCCAAAAAAGCAATGTCCTTCAAATGAGCATGATTTTTTCCTTGCAAATTGAACTGCTTGATAATCCAGCGGTGAACAGATAATTGGTACAACATGGGCCGTAACGGTTACAGTGACGTCATTATCAGCATTCTTCATGCACAAGTTCACATGCTGTTGAGCCTCTACACCCAAAGCCTGCAAGCTTCTGATATGGATTTCTATTTTTTCATATAATTGTCTGATCCCCTTTACATCATTGACAGAACCGACCACTGGCGATTTGAGTAATTTATCCATATGAGAGCTGATGATTAGTTCTTTGTTTCCATACCTTTGCTCCAAGATCTCTCTTGCCGAGTTGTATTTTCTGATGTAAATGGAAGCCCTTTAGTTGTCGCTGCGGCTGGACCTTCTACGAGGGACTTCAAATGGTTAATTTTGTCTATATTACTAAATTTCGGGTTTGAATGATCAGCACTGTCAAAACAATCGATGAACGCTTGCCACTCCGTCGGTCGACCATTGAATCTTTTCATTTCTAATTTCGGTAGTTTGGCGCGAATTTCGACGTTCCAAGCTGTAGTTGCTCCATTAAAGAGTAGTAGCAGATTGGGGACTTAAGCTTACGTTCCAGTCGAAGTGCTTAGGGTTGAAGTAATCGGCGAATTAATCTTTAGAGATTTCGGAGTCGAATCGATGAGAACCACGGCCCTCGTGATTTCATCTGTGATTTCTCTTGCTTCAGCAACTTCATGTTCGATGGATTCTTCTTCATCTTCATCATCTACGAGATCCAAAATCTTGCTATCGAGGTTTCTCCATGGTGTCGAGCTTTTCCCTAAGTATAATCTTCTGTTGCGAGAGTTTATCCTGTAACGACGGCTCGAAATTGGCGATTGAATCTTTAACACCTAGCGCAAGTGACTTGCGCGAGGAGTTTCTTTACATGTGCTCCATGACCTCCGCGAATTTACCTTTCTTGAATACTTCAGCCATTGTTCTCCCAAAATCGGCTCAAAAGACCATGTAATGAATTTTTTCCGTTTTTCTATTCACAAAAACTGACTAAAGTGAATCTGACCGAGTTTAAACTAGAATTTCAGAGTTTGATCCATGAACGCCATGAAAACATATGCACCAAAACAACTCCGACCGAGTAAAATCACATCGAGTGATTACGTGATTAACAATCAACCAGTCTATGTCAATTAAGGGGATCCTCTGAATTCCGCACAGTAATCACTATTTTTGAGGATATTTATCAGAGCGCCCCGTATGTACAATATGTGTGTAAACCTTATGCCTGCAGTCAAAAGTCTTAATTCTGGCCCATTTTTTATCGATCAGGAAAATCTTCTTATCTCAGATCTCAGCTGCAAACTGTTAAAATTTTGACCAGTTCTCAGCTATCAGTTGAGCTCCACACAGAAATTTAACGTGCGAAAAGCCGTCTAGCGGACTTATCAAAAAGTTAACAGGAGTGTATGGAAGGAGTGAATTTTTGGCCACTACAACAACTCGGCAATGTTCTCCGCCATTTTCCGAATTACAAACAATGTTAACATTCTGATTCTTAGATTCGGAAAATTTTACTCTAACGCACACCTTCCAAATATGCAAAACATTTCTGTTTACCTTCGTTTTTATGGGCCTTGAATCGTTTTCGTCCTGTCAAAAATACAAAGGAAATAGGCTATACAATACAATTTCGCAGTACGTCAATCAGAAAAAGTTTTGTCCACCTATCAGATCTTGGACGTTAATGATTAAGAGAATGCAGATATAAAACAATAAAAGTCTTAATTCTGGCTCATTTTTAATCGATCAGGAAAATCTTCTTATCTCAGATCTCAGCTGCAGACTGTTAAAATTTTGACCAGTTCTTAGCTATCAGTTGAGCTCCACACAGGAACTTAACATGCGAAAAGCCTTCTAACGGACTTATCAAAAAGTTAACAGGAGTGGTTGGAAGGAGTGAATTTTTGGCCACCACAACAACTCGGCAATGCTCTCCGCCATTTTCCGAATTACAAACGATGTTAACATTCTGATTCTTAGATTCGGAAAATTTTACTCTAACGCAGACCTTCCAAATATGCAAAACATTTCTGTTTACCTTCGTTTTTATGGCTTTTGGATCGTTTTCGTCCTGTCAGAATGCAAAGGAAATAGGCTATTGTCAAGTGATCTTGACCTCAACTTGCTAAGTAACCAATGTCTAAACTAGCTAATAGCTAAGGTGCAGACCTCCTTTTTCCATAAGTCCTCAAAAATATAATATCCATTCAAAGTTAAGCGGAAGTTGTACAGGAAACGCTGGAGAATTTGAACACTCTGAGGCTTTCGCAATGCGAATACGTGGTACAGCAAACAAATAGTCTTAATTTTTGACGGAGAACCTCGTCTTTGATTAATTTGTCCTTGCTGCTATAAGTAAAAATGCAAGCGAAAGAAAACTGTAAAGAGAATTAAGGAAGTTCTCAATTGGCCCATATTTGTGATTACATAAATACAACTTCGCAGTACGTCGATCAGAAAGAGTTTTGTCCATCTATCAGATCTTGGACGTTAATGATTGAGAGCATGCAGATATAAAACAATGACATCATCTTTGATACTTACCTCCTGAGGAGTCGATGGTGTTTTTTGATATTCCACTTGAGGTGGAGCCTTCACATGTCTCATCACCACTTTCCTAAAACAAACATTGATAGTCGTTAACCACCCCAATCTTTGGTCTCGTTGCTAAGTTCGATACAACTGATAAATATAACAAAAGCAAAACAAACCAGCAAGTAGTTATAGAAAAGACTGAGGAGCTTGGCCGGTGAATAATGAGTTTTACACATTTTAAACAAATGAAAGCGATGGTCTACGTTAGGATTACTTTGCAGTCACTGTCAGTCTCTTTCTATTCTTTCTGTGAGCCATTTCTAGGAGGTAATTATAACCTCCTAGATTTCTGGCCAATTATATCC